CAGTCTAAAATTCTATATTTTTCCAGAGATTTTGTTTTGCTCATCCAGCAGCAATGGAAAACCCACCTAGAGCTGTAGATGAGGATAAATAAAAACAGAGCATGGAGAAAGAGAGAAATAAGTAATTCAGCCAGGAACTCTTTTTTTTTTTTTTTCTCCTAAAGGATTCTTGTTCCCAATTCACCCAGGGTAAATCAGCACACCTGTGGCATGTGGAACAGATGGAGCAGGCATGGCAAACACCTCCAGCTGCACAGATCTGTTACACAGGTGCTGGGTTCAGCCTCTGCCTGGCCAGGGGCACCGAGGCGTTGGCAAATGCCCAGAATTCCAGGGGCTGGAAGAGAAAAAGCAGGGAGAAAGGAGTCAGCTGGCAGCAGCATCTTCCAGAGCAGCCCCCAGGCCTGAGCCAAACCTGCCCGGCTCATTCCTCACCCCGTGCTCGGAATCACTGTCAAATTCCTAAACTTATTTGGCAGTTCATGGGGAGGAATTTTTGGCTGGAGTTACTGGAACAGAGACCCTGGGATACTCAGTGCCTCAGTGGATGGTGCTAAACCCTTCCATGGCTGAGCGTTCTGGGGCAGAAGCTCTTGTGTCACGTCTTCTTTTAATTCTTTTCTCTTTATTTGTTTGGGTTCTTTTCACTCCTTATTTTTTATCAGTCACATTTTCTGCTACACTTGCTCCCCATCTTGGTTGTGGTTTTTTTCCATTTCTCTTTGTTTTCCTTCTTTTTCCTTCTTTTTCCTTCTTTTTCCTTCCTTTTCCTTCTTTTTCCTTCCTTTTCCGTCTTTTTCCGTCTTTTTCCTTCTTTTTCCGTCTTTTTCCTTCTTTTTCCTTCTTTTTCCTTCCTTCCTTCCTTCCTTCCTTCCTTCCTTCCTTCCTTCCTTCCTTCCTTCCTTCCTTCCTTCCTTCCTTCCTTCCTTCCTTCCTTCCTTCCTTCCTTCCTTCCTTCCTTCCTTCCTTCCTTCCTTCCTTCCGTTTCCTTCCTTCTTTGTTTCTTTCCTTCTTTCCTTGTTTCCAGGTTTTTGTTTTTCTTTTTTTAATCCCAATCTTAGTGTTTGTTTTGGTTTGGGTTTTGTTTTTTTTTTTTTTTTTGCGGGGGGGGGGGGTGTTTTTGTTCATTTTATTGTGTTTTTTGGGGTTGTTTTTCGTTGCTTGGTTTGGCATTGGTTATGTTCAGTTTTCTAATATTTATTTTTCCTTTTTTTCCCCCCCCTCCCTATTTATTTTCCTCTCCTTGTTTTTTTTTGGGGGGATGTTTATTTTCTCACTTGTGCAATTCTCCCCCTGGAGCTGAGGAGGGCAGGGGCAGTGACAGCCCAGGCTGCTCTCCATTCTCTGGACATGCTGCAGGTGTAACTCAAGCACGGTGACGTTTGTTATGTCCCTCTAAATAGCTCTGCTGATGGTGCAGAACTGGTGCTGAGCCAGGAGAAATGATAAAACATAATCAAGCCCCAGAAGACAACGTTGTGATGTTGATAGAGACAAATTTATATCCCTCCTCTACCCATGTTATGTTCAGATTAATCCATTTGGTATCTGTGTGTTATAGAAGCCAAAACACTTGGTAATGATCTACTGGGACAGGAACATCAGAAGAGCTTATTCTTTTATAAACTCATTTTCTCTCCAAACTCTAATAATAATTTTTATTATAATAAATAAAATAATAAATAAAATAAACTTATAATAAATATCTAATTAGAAATTTAGTATATATTATATATTACATACAATTTACATTATTTATATGATATATTATATATAATTTATATTACATGTTATAATTATTATATAATTTAAAAATTCTAATAAAGAAAATAATTATTATTATTTTCAAATATTATTTTTCCTGTTAAAAAAAAAAAAAAGCTTCAATTTTTTTGGTTGAAAAGCCACCTTCCCAGCTCTGAGCTGCTGGGGATGAGCTGTATCCTCATGAAGATTTAGCTGGGATCATAAATCCATGTGTTTATAGAGCAGAAATCTCTGCTGTATAAACAGACAGAGCCTCTACTGACCACAGAAATCCAAACCCCAGCAGAAATTTGCCTTTTTTAGTGTGAGAACATTAGAGTGATGGCCAAGGTTTGGATGGCAAGGCCTGAACTTCCACTCCAAAAATCCAGGCTATGAGGGGTAAAAAGCTTTGAGGGGGTACAAGTTACCAGGGTAATATCTGCACCTGGAGGAAGCATGGACATTTTGGGAAGGTCTAAGTTGCTTTAGGGATAATTTTGGACTCTGTTGAAAGCCAGAAATCTTCAGCATTGGTTGGTCCAGCTTTGCAGACCAGGCCTGGATCGGGTACCGTGATCATCCCAACTCCTTCCGAGTTTGATGCTCCAGCAGAAGGGCAGATTGGATTTCACACAAGTAATGTTTTACTTTACTGAAAGATTATCTAACAAAATTTCTTCAGACAAAACATTTAAAATGTGCAAAAAAAAAAAAAAAAAAAAAAAAGGTGGGTTTGGTTGCTGGGAAATGTCTGACGTCAGTCCTCCAATGCCAATATCTAAAATAAGTGTGAAATATCTGTCATTAAACCTGGGAGATTATAAACCCAGTGACAACTGGTTTAATGCCAACGCTTTTGTTGGCACTGCAGTTCAACTTGTTCTGATCTTTCATCAACTCTGTGACTAAATTCAGAAATCTTTCCTTGGTTATCAAGGATGGTAAGAAGGAATCAACACATTTTCTCAGGTTTCACAGAGCAACCTGTGTTTCTTGGCTCTCAGGAGTGAAAATAAAACATCAATTAACAACACTCCATCTTCAGGAAGGTCTGGGTGAGATATCCCTCTAATATATAATCATAATTATCAGCAATCACAGTCTTTTTTCACTCTTCATTACCTTAACCATCCAAGTACTTCAGGCTTTCCTTGTTTTTTTGGGTTTTTTTTCAGCTATGAGCCATAAATGACTACATGATGTACTGATTTTATTTGAGTGATAAATGGGGATATTTCCCAGCAGATGAATAAATACAAAGCTAGCAAGTCACACCAAGAAAATCAGTAAAACCTTCAAAAAGTGATTCAACCTTTGTTTTACACAAACAAAACCCACCTTTGCAACCAAATATTTTATCAATTCCTTCAGCACCTTTCCAAAGGTTATTTTACATTTTATTTGGCTCAGATATTCTTCCCCCATTGATTAGGCTGATCAGACAGATGGATAAGGAAATATTGCTGCAAAGAGGATGGCTAAAAAAATAAATGCTGCTTTGATGGTGCTGCCAAGGCTCACTGTGGCACAGCAGCACCCAAAATACCTGTGAAGAACAGCACAGAAATAAAATGGGGAATGCCAGAATTGGGATGGACAAAAAGTTTGCCCTTCTTTGTTTATTTTCCGTATCCCATTGTTAGCCTAAAGAATATTTGATAAATACTATGCAAATCTACATAATGGTTAATTACCTGTGGTATAAACATCATGTAGTGCTACACAAAGAGGGATTTTGGAGCCCAGATAATTTAAAGTTTTCATGTTCAAAACTGATCAGATTTTTTTTTTCTGTGCAGGTTTGACTGCAGCCTTTGAAAATTCTGTGCTAAAAAGTGGTTTTCCATAAAGTAGTCAGTGAAATAATTGTGCTCTCTTAGAAAAAACTGGAAAGATGATAGGCCATCCTCTCTTGCAGAATTTGGCCTTCCTGTATAAATTAATTCTTACAGTGGAGGGAGCCTGTGTGGTCAAACTGATTGCCAGGAAGAGAACACTCTCAGTTCATTATCTGGAGTTCTTCAGCTCAATCCAAGGAGGCATTTTGCAATCACTAGCACAGAAAATAGATGCACTGAGATGCTATTGCACTTACAGAAAGCTTCAGGATAATTTATTTACGAGATGGCTTGTTGCTCTTACATACTACTTACATTCATCAAATTCTTGGCATTTATTCTTCCCAGTTGGGCCAGTGAAAAGCAACCAATTACGGCGGTGTTCAGGCAGAAAAATTCCAGCCCCATCCAGAAGCAGGGAAGGAGGAAGAATTATCCATGGGTTTCTTTAGAGGTTTTTAATAGGTTCAGCTCAAGCAGGTGGAAAGGAGTGTGGGAGATGTCAGCTCACAGGGCAGGGACCTCACCTGGCTGTGGCAAAGAGTCCTTTGGGTCCTTCCCAAAATGTCCCTCTGCAAGGATCCTCTCCCCAGACTTCCATCATGGAGATTTCTGGCCAGACCCCACTCTCCTGGCAGATTTTGGGGCTGGGAGTCTCCTGACACAGAGATTGAGGTTCTTCTGCAGGTGTAAAAACCTGCCCCTCGTGTCCCAGTAAATGTCGGGTGTCCCTCAACCAGGAGGCAACTGAGTGGACAAAAAAAAATCATAATTGGAGCTTGCCTCCAAAAGAGGGACTTTTCCCAGGGTGCTTGAGCTGGAAAGGTGTGAATTCATTATTTGTGAGTCCATAATTCTTTACTCCTTGAAAAATGAGGATTGTGGGAAAGGCATTGGGTTTTCCTGCTTATTTCACTGTAGGACTTGGTTTAGGCTTTCAGTACACAGCTCAAATCCTCTCCTGCCTTGGCTTTGTCCACATATTTGGCCAGAAAAAAAGCTCTGATTCACACTTTTATGGCAGTCTTACAAATTTTTGGTCTAACAAGCAAGTATTGCCTGGTGTATCCAGCAAAGTTAGTGTGCCTTTATGTTTATGTTGATGAAACAAGGCTTGAGTGTGGTGGCGTTGCAGTTAAAGATTAAATCTGATTGTGTTCTGCATGGCAATGCTGTAAAACTGCTATTTATGTTTAAAAAAAAAAATCCATTTTCCTCTAACAGATTACATTGTTTCTTTGAAGGGTGAGTTTAAGCAGCTAGTATTTATAAGAATATGTACCTCATTAATCTCCAGCTTTTAATCTCTCCAGTCCCACTTAACCCAGGGAAGCTTCAAAGGCTGTGGGGGCCTTATATTTTTTTACTGAGAGAAGAGGTAAAACATAAATGAAAGATCTGAAATCAGAGTGGTATCTGTAACATTTCCTTTTAATCTGCATAATATATTTACTGCTCGACAGGTTGGGAAGCTACCTGGATATTTGCCTGATGAACAGTTCTAGGGACAAACTGGAAAGAGTAAACATATTAATTAGAGACTGCACAGCTCCTTCTTGCTGGTGTAATCATTAAATTGATTTTTCCAGTCTGACATGTAATTGTTCCAGCGATGGAATCCTGCTTTCCACTCTCGTTCTGCTTCATCAATATTTCCTGTAAAACATGAAATGGGTTACATTAATCTAAATTTGAATCTCTTTGTATGCTAATTGAAAAATAATTTTGATTATCAATGTCATCTGCTCCAAATACATTATGGGATGGTCTTTTGCTTCTTTTCTTAAACCTGAAATGATGGAAAATTCAGTGATTGGCATTTTGTCTTTACATCAGAAAGGAAGGAGTGCAAAGATATCATTCTGGCAGGGTAATAAATATACTTTGGATTTTTTAAAATATATTTTGGATAATTCTTCTGTCCATCAAAATCATACTTTTAAAGTAACTTTTTTTTTCTTTTTTTTTTTTTTTTAATCCTCAAAATATTCCTTTGGTTAAATATACCCTGCATTGAAACCCACATACTCTGAAGACTAAATAATGAAAAATGAGAGATGCTTGTAAAGATAAGGTGAAATCACAGCTTTGTTTAAAGGAACAACAGGATTTCCATTGTTTTAATAGATTGCAATGGATGTCCAGGATCTCGACCTCACATGGAATAAATCCCCAAGTTTGAAGAAAAAAGGACAGTAGGACACTGTCAAATGTGCACTATGACAGCATGAAACCATCTTCCCTTTTATTTTTCATCCCAACCTTTAAAGCATTTTCCAAGTAATCCTGAGTCCCAAGGAAATATTTATTGCTAAAATTTTTATAAGCATGGGAGCAAAGGGTGAGGATGAGAAGAGTCATAAAAATACAGCATTTCTCAGGGTTCCAAGAGTATTTTATGGACAGGGATCCCCTCCTGCAGCCCCAAAAGGTGATTAACACCATAGAAAGGCTGTGGCCTTGCAGAAACATCCCAGACACCACCAAAACGTAGATAAAACCTGCAGGCTGTATCAGTCAGTGGTGGTCGTCATTTTGTTTCAGCTGTAGGTTTCAGGATAAAGTTCAGAAACCATTGATGATCTGTAGGTTTTGTTCATTCTGATCTTTGTTCGTTCTGGACCAGCTCTGGTGGTGTCTCACACTGGCATGGCTCACTTCCAGAAACACTTGGTGATGGTGTTCCTGAGGTAACAGCTCCGCGGGTTCTTTATGCTCCTTTGGCTTTTATGTTCTTCTGCTCTTCTTCTTCCCTCCATAAATACGCCCCTTCCCCCTTTTTTATGACCTGCCAGCACTGGAAGTGTAACTGGTGATGTGAAAATGAAATACTTCTGTGTTTTACACATCGCTAGAGAGAATATTTGGGAGAGAGAGTTCACTGATTCCGAGATTTAGCTTGGAGAAGCATCCAGTAATTTGGGCGCTTATCTGCAGTTTAGCTCAACATTTCCAAACCTTTCTGGTCTGGAAATCCAGATGGCAATTTAATGAGACTTTGAAATGAGATTTACTTCTTGGTTCCAGTGAGACCAGAAATAAAACCAAGATATTTTTTTTTCTCCGGGAAGTCCTGTACTTTAAAATGCAGTCAAAAAGATAAGTGTGAAGAAAAAATATGGGAAAAAATGTCAATAAATTAACCACATCCTTCTCCCTCAGCTCAAAGTTGTAAATAATCTTGGTTATAACAGAGATAAAAGGAAAGTTCAGATACTTTAAAATTTTCTTTCTGCAGGCCACAAGTGCTATTAACTCAGAGATGATTTGGAAGTGCTGGTAACAATAAAACCTCATTTTCATTGCTAACTATGCAGATAGAACTCAGAAACACGGGGACAAAACATGCACAACATTCTGCTTTCCTGACTCTAAGAACTCTCCTTTTCACATATTTAATTTAAACATGTAGTCAGGGTCTCAGGCAAAGCCAAATTCTTCACATTAAATCAAATGGATTGGTAATTTAGTGCATGAAACAGTAGCAGTATTATTTGGAGAAAACTGCCTGAACTGTGTTTCTCATTTTATTCTTGATTTTGGGTGTCTAGTTTTATTTATTCAGGCAAAACATCCACTTATGAATTAAAAAGGAAACTCAAAAACCTCTCTTCTTTAATTATTCAGGTGTAGAGGTGTTTCAAGTCTGCCCAAAGACACCGAATTATCTCTACCATAGACACATCTTGAATTAAAAGTCACTGTTCTGGAGTATAAATTATGGGGCTTTTCAGAACTTTTTAAAGATTATGGTATACAAGTGAGCTAGCTAGAGAAAGAAGACATCAACAAATTCAGAGGAGCCACCATTATGGATCTAAAAGACAAAAGGGGGATGGAAATCACTGAAATAAGAACTTGGATTCCCATTTGTTTGCTTTTCTTCCCCCCAGTGATAAGATCCAAATTGAAGTCACAAGTCAATGCATCCCATTATCACCAACATCATCAATCTCTGGGAGGCAACCACCCATGACTTAGATGAGCTGACAGCTGGGAGGCAGAAAAGAAAAAGGTCTGAGAGTCCAAGCTGACCAATAATTACTGCTCAGAGGTGCCTGCAGAGCCAGCTAACAGTGAAAACAGGGAATTTTCTACAAGCCACTGGGACAATCCCAAACTTTACCATAATTCCCATTAGTCCCACGCAAAGCCCAGTGAGGCTGACAAGGAGAAAAGGGGAAATTCTGTAGGCGATGAATCAGTGCTCTGAAAGTTCCAGTTTAACAGGTCAAAATTTTAAAAAGGTTGTTGTTTGTTTTTTTTTGATTCTTCAGCAATGCTGGAATTTTCTCTCATTCCATCTCTCCCTTACTTTAATGGTGTTGCAGCAAAGTTAAATTTATCACCATCCCATCCTTTGAACTGCTGCATGTGCCAATAAAGTGCTAATCTTAATGTAAAGACACAAAAATACCTTTAGGATTAGGATAAAGGTCATATAGTTGTTAATGAATAAGGGATGACAAGTTAGAATTAATTGTTCTGTCTTCAACACCTCATGATTGCAAGTTTCATGACTACAGGTTTTTGCAAACCTTCAAGTTTTGGATTTCAATAGCATGATAAATGCCACAGATTTATGCTGTTGATTCTCATGCTGAGAGTTTCTTCACAAATGTCCAGAAAGGAGAAAACAAATATCTATATTGAATATTCTTTAGTCACACTCTCTGGATATCAAAACTTTGTTAGACACAGCAGTATATTAATTTTCACACATGTTTTTAAGGGCTACAACATCTATTCTTTCATTGTTTTAGTTCTTCCACAAGTCAGCAGATCTCTCTGGGAGACGAATTATTCTAAGGGCTGTTATCTTTCCAATGAAGTTTAGGTACAGAAACCTCTTGCTCATAGATGCAATTAGGAAAGTCTTTGCTGGGAGGTGTGGTAGTATTGGTGATGTTAACTACAATTAACTCATATTTCTTCATGTATCCAGCTCTGTGGAAATTTAATTTAATTCTGATGGTGAATCTTCTATTTAATAATTTTTTAAATATTCTTACCACCCTGAATATTTATCTCTGTAGAATCCAGACACTGGTTGGAGGATCACAGCAAATACAGTAATTTTTGTTGCTCATTAGTCAAGAGGCTGAATATTTCTCTGCCTCCACATAAAAAAAAATCTTTTTAGGGTGGTTTAAAAAAAGTAATGTATTTTTATGACCAAGCTTGATTTCTTCATAGATGAGACATGATCCAGTAATATCAAATAAAATAGAAAAAAATATGTATTAGGCAGACTAAAATAGTAATGGAAGAGTAAATGGAAAGTTTGGCTGCCTGCAGCGTTCTACAATCAGGAGGAAACGGGCTCATATAAATAGGAAGGGCTTTAGATGCATTAAAGGTTGTGTTGAGGAGGTAAAGCCTAACACAGATCCTTTTATAATTAACATATGATTACTCTAAAAGCTACTTAAAAGTCACTTACTGTTTAGTGTCCGTGCAGTGTGACCCTCCCAGCAGCAGCTGGCAGAAACCCTTCTGGTTTCAGGATGAAATGGGAAATGCTGAGCGGCTGGGCAGGGTGCAGGCTGTGCTCAGGGCTTTGGAAATGGGGTTAAAATCCCTGTGGGAATTGTGTCTGCTCGGAACTGAGAGCCCAGGTCCACTTGTGCAGTGTTTGTTATCAAGCTGGACACAAAACTCCAGGTTCTGACTTGTGTCTTTAGTGATGGATTTATGAATTGAAACCCGAGGAGAAAACCTTGAGAAACCTTCCAAAATCATAGAAATTACTCTACAGGTATCGAGGCCAAATTTTATATATGGCTGTTACTCTTGTATTAACTGTGAAAGCCTTTTTTTTTCCTTATTATTTTCCTACCGCACAACCATAATAATTTTTTTAAAAATCTTATATGATTGCTTGAGGAAAAAGTGAATTTTCTAACAGTAAAGATATATATTTCTCATATATTTTACTGCCTCAGGGAACTTGTCTTACCCAGCCTGTGATGGGAACAGGCTGGTTCAGGTCCAGGACACATTTGGAACTGGCCTTTAAAGGCCTTAAAATCCCCCAGTGGGTGGCAAGGCTTGGGCTAGGAGTGGGTCAGGAATTAGGCAAGGGGTTACCAAGCACATCCATGGCAAATCCTGATCACTTGATGCTAGAAAATCATAATTTATGCAAAATAAGTTGTTTTGATTATCCTCTTTGGGTTCTACCTGATAGAATTCTACTTTGCTTATCTGAACCCTACTTGAACTTTTAACAATGAGAACATAAAATTTCCTTACTTGTTCCCTGTCATCTTATATCACCTCATGTTAAAGCAACCTTCTTTTCCTAAGAATTTTTCAATGAAAGGAATAATAGAAAGAACAGACCCTCAGAACAAGAGGAAATCTCTGCATTAATGCTGTGCACTGTCCTTTGGGCATAAAAGGCAAGAGAAAATGGAAAATAATATTTCAGTGAAGAGAATTATTGCAATGTAAGCTATTATATCACATTTGTACACAGGATTTCAAAGGGTTTTCTGTCAGAATTGGATAATATTGTACGGGGAACATAATGGAAGCACTCTGTTTTTATTATTGCAATGTTTCAAGGACTGACAGATGATACAAGACAAGGCAGTGCCACTTGTTGACAACATTCTCGCTTCAGTTCTATATTTGGATCCAGACGCGACGATTCTTCTCTTTTTGCTAAGAATACGCTCGTGAATTTCTTTTAATTAAATTATGTAAATTTATGTTGCAAATTACCAAAAGTGGCACAGTGATGAATGCATGTCTGCTGGCAGGTCCTGAGCATTGCTCCATCACCCCGCAGGACCAGGCAGAGCTCTCCTCTCCCCCAGGGTGTGTAAAACTTTGGGGATCTGCTCCCTCCTGCTCCATGCTGACTTTGTTAAGCTCAGCCCATCTGTAGGATCCACATTTTTCCCTAGGGTTCCCCAGCCAGGTTAGAGGAATATGTAAAAGAGTTCAGTTCCCCTGGCTCAGCACAAAGTTGTCAGAATCTTTGAAACCTCCCTGAAATCCACCCGTAATTGGGAAAGCTGTGATTTTAAAATCACACAGTAGGCTTCATAAATTATTCATTTTACCTACTGATTTCGTGTCTCTTGATTTAATTGAAAAACATCTGTTGAATTGAGAGGGGATAAAAGTTGATCCATAATACAGTCACAGACTCAAATGAGGAGGGAAAATTATTTCAGAAGGAATCATCTGTGCACCATGACAGTTTACATATTTTTAAGGCTTACGTGATTTTTTAAGACGAGCATTCAAACTGAGTCTTAGAGAAAGATTTTAAATTACTAATTAGCATCTTAAAAGTGTATCTCATTTTTGAAACGAGACTTTCCCTCAGTCAAGCTGCAGAATGTAATTCCAGAGCTGCAAAATCACTTTATAAAATCAATTCCTTTTGAAACCCAGAGCATAGAGGCTTCATCTATTGCTGGGCTTGGGTAAAAACGTGGCCATCAGTCTTCAAAAAATTTGGGTCTTCTCTGTTCAACTGATCCTTACATTTCAAACAATTATACTTTTCTTGGCAGTGAAATCTCATAAATCCATTGTCTACATGGCCACGCAGAAATCTGTTCTGTTTTCTACAGGCAAATCCTGCAGCCTCTGGGCTGTAAGCAATGACACTCCAGAAATAAAACACAGGGCTCTCACGTGAGCTGGAAACCAGAATCCCCTCTTGGCAGTGCAGGGCACTTCATATCCTTGAAGGATCAGTTGCATAAAATAGAATCCCATAAATAATAGATAATATAATCCAAACATAACATCCTGTAACGTCTCACAGTTTATGCAGAACATCTAAAGCTTCCAGAGCTCCCAGAGAGCAAAGTCTCCTTTAGCACTGATTTTTCCACTCAATCCAGCACCCAGGAACCCTGGTGGCACCAAAACTCTTTCAAAGGGTACCCAAGAGCAGAGGTTTCAGCACTCAGTGTCTCACATTGTGGCTGCATCTGAATTTTGGGACAGAAAAACTCCATATCACAAAGTCCTGGCCCTTGGTGTGTCAAAATAGGGTGGTGAGCTCAAAGCCAGAAGCACAGGGCACATTCTGGGTTCCACCCTCAACAAAGAGTGGACAGGTCTATCCAACAGCAATTCAGTTTTACCCAACTGAACATTTCAGTTACGAACAGGAGTAGGAAGAGCTGAACTGAATTATCACATTAGCATCCAGCAAATGATCCTTGTATGAAAGTTTTATATAAAAGCAACTAGAAAAGAATTGTTACCTGTCATTTCCATGACTTTGGGGAAAAAGTGTTTCCAGAATCGACACTGTTGAGCTTGTAGTTTTGTCAGTACCTTGGAAGTGTTGGTGCTCAGTGTCAAATATTTTTGGTCAGTGCTAGTGAAGACTGGCCACCTTGTTCCATTCGTCAGGGTCCCGTTTGGAGCTCTAAATGAGAAAAGAAATACTTCATTTTGAATGAGAAACCACCTCAGCACACAATAAAGCCTGATTTGGGTTTATTTAAGTTGTTCAGCTTAAGTGTGTTAGTTTGGAATGACTGATGTGTCCTTTTGGAAATAACAGGGGAAAAAAGCCAGATAAATTTAATTTACCCTCATTTAAAGGAAAAAAAAAAATCTCCAGAGGTGTTCTGGGTTCATCAAAGGGAAAAACTTAATAAATTATCATGTTCAAACAACCTTTTGAATCTGGAGATTCTCACATTAGCTGTGAATTATTAGGGATGATTCTAGAACTAACCAGCCTGCTAGTCTGAGGAGTTGAGTGGTTTGTGTTTTAGTTTGAAAGCCTTTGATCCCTTTAGATGGACAAACAGAATGGAATAAATGACTGGGATAAGCATGCAAGTAAAGGTAGAAATAATGTCTAAACTGGGATAAGAGCTGTACTGGGAGGGAGCACAACTATTCCTCATTAAGAAGGAGCTGTCATCCTGGAGGCATGTTGAGTCCTGCTTGTGGAAGGGGCCAAAAGGGAACAATCTAAAATCTTGTGGAAACTGGGAAGAGGTACAGAGGGCTTGACCCTTTATAAAACCAGCTCTGCATGTGAAAGGAGCACAGCTGTTGTTATTAAAAGAGTTGTGATAAATATTTATAATACAACAGAATTCAAGAGGCTCTAAGGACAGGCATCCAGATTTCACCTCCAGAAATAACAGTATCTGTATGAGAGGGAAAAAATGGTTTAAATGTGTAGGAGAACAACAAAATGGGCAGCGTTACATTAGGGAATAAACAAAACAGAACATGAATTTTAGAATAAGTAGATTTGTATTTCAAACAGTCACAGATCTCCGTTAGCTCTGAAGAGGTTAAGAATAAACAAGATAAATAAATTAAACATTTTATTTCAGTGCAAGCACAAGGAGCCATTTTCTTTGCTAGAAGCTGATCTCAAGGAATGTGGGATTTAGGGCAGAGCAACAGTAATTGATTCTTGGTGGGATAAATTAACTCTGACATGAGTCCATTTTGTTCTCTCTACTTTACTTTACACCAGGACTCTTCCTGGAAGGCAGAAGGCAAAGAGGAGTCCAGGGAGTGCAGCCCATTTTGGTTCTGCTTCCCAAGAGAGGGAACAAGGCAAGAGGTGTGGGTGGGAGCACTCAGAGCAAAGATGCTGAAGCAATATTGATATTTCTCAATTGATTTGGAATTAATCAAATTTTCAGCCCATGTTTTTGTGTTCTGGGGTCTTTGGCATTGGCTGCTTCAAGAACCAGCATTGGAATAAAAGTTTCAGGCTGTCATTTCCTGACCTGCTCCCTTCTTCACTGATTTTTCCAGACTAATTCAGCTCTGATTAACCCATGGCACCTTTTTTAAGTGCACATTTATTTGTGGCTCCTGAGAATGACGACTTAAGCAGAGCTGACTTGCACTTCAGTTCAAGATCAGGATGCTAACGGTGCTGTCAGTATTCATTTAACAGCTTTTACGCTATGAAATAAATCATGACATCCCACATTATAATTTACAGGTGTGTGGGAGGATTACACAATGCCTCGATGGCTACAGATGTATTTTACTGAAAAATGATTGAAAGAACTGTCAGGTGAACACAGCACTTTGAAGCCCGTGAACCTGCTGATTAGGACAATCTCTGCATTTCTAGGAAGTTTACTGTTCAAAGAAATGCCCAGTAATTTCCTTCTTGGCTTTAATATTGAAAATTTCCCAAGTTAAAAAGCAGCTCCCAGTCGGAGCAAAATGGAGATCACAAGAGTATAATTTGGAACAAGTTATGATTATAACCTTGTTGTTCCCTCACAATTACTGTTCATTCCTTCTTACTAATAACTTCATGATGAGAATTGCAGTGCCCAGAATAGGCTGTAAAATTCCCTGTTCTTTGCACCAAATTCAAAGTCTAACAATATTCATACAGAAGAGTGGAAGCGTGGTGGGAATATCTTCAGTGAGCAGACAGGAATCCAATACCCTGCACAAACTTGTCGCTGCCCATTTAGGTTTGGATGGACAAACTTTGGTGATCGATTACAGAAACTTGTTTGTACTGAAAAAAAAAAAAAAAGTTACATTTGCATGGAAAGTTCCATTCTATCATCTTTTATCAGTTCCTTAAACCTCTGCTCTTTCATCTTCTGGTATTGCTTAATCACTCTGCTTCAGTAATTCCAGTTTTGCCACTTCAGTGCTGGCATTGGGGTCTGATGGTGTGTCCTGAAAATGCTTTGGGCTGTGCATCTTCAGGCCAGGACTCTATTTTGTGGTTTTATTTTGTCAAATCACCTTTATTGGATAACATTTATTCAGAGAAGGTCTTAATTTTGTTTGGGAAAATAATCAAATAGTACGGCTTGGAAAGGAAGTTGGAAGATCCAACCTCCTGAAATGAGCAGGGACATCTTCATCTAGACCAGGAATATGAGCTTCACTGAAGATCTTAGAAAGAATCTTTTTCCTTTTCTACTCTTTTTACCATTTGCAGGAGCAAGTCTTAAGGCAATGAAGAAATACAATTCTTTGAATTGCTCTCAGAAAAGAAATTGGAGACAGAAAAACAAAACAAAACAAAACAAAACACAAACTCAAACCACCTGTGTTTAAACTCTAGTGTAAACAGAATTTGTCTCATTCCTGCAGCTATGTTTTCTCTTTGCATATGCCCTGAAATTACAGGCTGGATTCTCTCTACTCTGCGAGTGACACAGCAGCTCATTTATAGTAAAATATTTTGCTAAGATATGTTTTTAAGTGGAAGTTTCTTGGTTGTACTTGTTGTTACTTAGATCAGGTTCTTCTCCCTTTTGGTTTTTCCATCCACAATTGCCAATACCTTTTAGTGTTTAAGATTAATTTATAGCAAGTGTACTAAATTTGATACAGGCATGAAGAGGGTTTTGGAAGAGCTTATTCACCAATCATTTCTCTGTATTTAATATTCCTCTTCAGCAACTTCAGAAAGTTAATTTCATTCCAATGGATAATGCAACATGAACAGAGCTCTGTTAATCATAATAAACATACATACATTACCATTCTCATTAATATGATCAATATAGCCTGAGAAACAATACCAGCTCAGTGAATTTTTATTAATATTCACACAGCATTACCTTTAAAAATGGTTTATCATACAGACACACAAAAAAATATAATTCATCATCTGACTGGTTTTGGTAAACATTCAGGATATAAAGTACCTGGAAAACATTTCCCCTTAGTTTTGGGAGCAAGTTCTGAATATCAGAGTGAAAACTCATGGAGTGAATTCTGTCATTACCACAGAGGTTACTCTTTTGTAGTGTTAAGTTGTATTTTGAAGAAGTCCAGAATGAGAAATATTCTCTGCTAACCCTCCTGGAAACATGCTTAGGGTTCTTTAGAATTTACTTTTGTAAAACAAGTGTCCTACAGCGTAGCTTAGACTCTCCCAAGCTTTCACCATGTTCCTGTTTTGTTGTGGGTTTCTGCAGAGGACAAGAAAAACAGCCCCACAACTCAGTGCCTACTAAGATTAATGAAAATTAATGATAATTCTGCTGCACCCTCTGCTTCCCCTGTGCAGGAGGAATTAAAATCCAAGGGAGACCTGCTCCTCCCAGTGTGAGTGGATTGGCTTCACCCTGGTTGGAACTGCTGATACTTGTTTCCAAATTGGCCCCTTTTCTTTCAAAAGCTGGTTTAAAGGCAGGAGAGAGGGAATGTGAATCCCTTTTGGAATGTGAATCCCTTTTATTGGCTTTTGTGATTCCTGGTGGGCAGCACTGGCAATCAGCTGGTTTCATGGGATGGTATTTTATGAAGTGTTACCATGGCACAAGAAAACTGAGGAGGGTGAATGGCCTTGGAGGGAACAGCAACAGCAAAAATAACCCCAACTCTTGCAGGTTTCCTGCAGCTGCAGTACAAAACCTCTGGGAATGATGGGAACAGCCAGTTCAGCATCAAACAAGAAGGACAACATAAAGGTTTCACCCCAAGGGTGGCTCTGGGAGTAAGTAAGATGTGCTTCTGCACGTCTTATGCTTGGATGATCTTCAAGGTCTAAACCAAACAGATGAATTTTTTTTTCTTTCCCCTCACATTTTGTAAGAAAACATTTTGTTGCTTTTCCTCTTTCCCACTTGGGCAGGAGGACACTCCTAATTAGCAGGAGTGTTGATGAGGATCTCCAGGCCCTCCCGTGCTGCCCCAGCCCTTCTCCAGAGGGGCAGGAGGTATTTGTGGATTAGCCAGGCCAGCATATCCAGGTGTCTCACACGATTCCTGAAGGCCAGGATGGGTTCTGTTAACACCCATGCTCATTTTCCCATTGCAGCACACTGGCTGCCAGGTAAATCTCAATTTGGGGTGCTGGTGTGGTCCCTGGGGGGATGATGGAGTAGTGACAGCAGAAGGTTTTGTAAGGCTTTGCTTGGATGGCACCATGGATGTGAGAAAATAGTGAGGGGTTCCTGAAAATGTAAGTCATTAAACATTTCTCATATACTTGATTTAAATTACCATGTAATTGAAATTTTAAGAAAAGTCATATAATTGTCTTTAATAGGGTGCAAAAATCCTGATTTTGTGGCATTTGAGCCTCACTGAGATTCCTACAGTAGGAAAGAAAGGGCTCCTCTGATGAGCACTATGAGTCTGAGGGCTGTGCAGACTCGAATCGTTCAAACTCCCTTTTTAACCAGCTGGTTCTGGGAAGTTCATTATGCCCTGCTGTGCTCAGTTCTCACTCCTAAATCACACACACGAGTCCATAATCCAGTGACTGCAGTGTCCCTGAGCCAGAGGGAAACTGCTTTGCAAGTCCCAGCCTGGGTAAATATTATTCCTTCTGCTGATCCCTGAAGAAAGCAGCAGGATCCAGCTGGCAAAGTCCTTAACTGAGAGAAACTGGAGAAGAACCTTTGCAGCCAGGCTTCCTTACACCTTCACAGGCTAAATAAAGCTCAGGATATT